TCCCGTTCGGATGCAAAAATTAATATAATCCTACGGGGTTCAAATGGCTGATTAGCACAGCCAGCGTAGATCAGCTACAGCAGAGGGAGGCAGAGACAAAGGCAGCGATACAGAAAATGGCAAATGGACAGACCAAGCCGATAGAGGGAATCAAAAAGACTTAAGACAGGGACACAAGCAGACAGGACGATAGCAAAATAGAAGCCAAAACGTGTGGCAAGGAAAGAGCTGTAATAAAAACCGACAGAGAGAAAGGTGGCATCAGTCTTCGTGTATTATGAGCCGTTAATTGTTTGTACACAAATGGCAAGATGGAAAGAGAGGGACAGGCCAGGAGCTTGTTACATTCTCATTAAATAAAACCTGGTTAATAAAGAGCTGCAGAGATTCCCAGCAGAGTTTGTCTCCTGCCAGCCTCTCCGAATGTGCCTTGAATACACAACAAGGCAGCTCAGCTATCCCGAGTCACCTGCTCCCAAGGCCCGGGCCCGGCTTTCTCTCTCTCTTCGCCCGTTCTCGGCACGTTACTGCGTGCGGTTACTAAAGGATCAAGGTGTGTGTGTGTGCGCGCAGAGGATTGGGCGTGGGGGGTAGATAGCCACTCAAGGGAGAGAGGGGAGTCTCTGGAGACAGCGTGAAGGATGTAAAAGCCTGACAGCTGAGTCAAGCTCCCAGGAGCGGGGGTTGGGTGCACAGGTCAGGGAGCACAGCCAAACAGCTCACTCTGAATGTCAATTCACACATTAAAGTTGGACAAGGAAATGGAGGCCTGTCAGAACTCACGGGACTGAACCTCGCCAGAAAAAAAATGGACAAGGCAAAAAAAAATCATTAGGGAGAAATAAAGCCTATCAGAGGCGTTTGATTTTGCTGCAGTACATTAAGCCCTGCTCCCCTATACTTGTCAGTGACAACATTAAAATGATTTCAGCATCGCTCTCACCCAGCTCAAAGTCATTTATCCCAATTACACCTTCCTAACTCGGTCTGTTCTTTCTCAGAAAAGTTCCAATCTTCTTTTAATAAGTTGTTTGCACTTTTGTCACAATTGAAGCAATGGCTCTTTTAAGGAAGGGTTAAAGGTGTTTCTTTTTTTAATCGGACTCCGGACCAATAATCAGTTCAGTTGCTCAGACCTGCGGCCAATCAGAGAATAGTTGTTGGGCAGATTTTCAACGCCTGATCCGAAGGCGAGGCTAATTAAACAACGATTAAGTCGTTTCTGGCGACCGGCTCCTGAAGCTTTACTGCAGTCAGATTGCGTGAGACATTGCTGGCACAGAGAGCCACCAAATCTCTGCACACAGGTCGTTAAACGAGCTTCTCGCTTATGCTACAGCTTGCAGTTTACCATAGATTACTTAACAATAGAAAAAGATTTGCATTTATGTTGCTCCTCTTCTGAATGGAGATTCTCCAAAGTTGAGTCATGGCTAGCAGAAAGGAAGACTTTTATATATTGACCTTGGGAAGTCAATCCCAAGACTATCGTTGCACTTTCTCAGGGTAGAGTCCTACGCCCCAACCATCTTCAGCTGCTTCATCAATAACCTTCCCTCCATCACCTTCGTAAAAGTCATATCTGCTGATGATTGTGCAGTGTTCAGACCCATCTGTAAATCCTCAGATACTAAAGCAGTTTGTTGCCAGCAAGACCTGGACAATACTCAGGCTTGGGCTGATAAGTAACAAGTAACATACATGCCACACAAGTATGAGGCAATGTCAATCTCCAAGAAGAGTTTTGTTTTTAATGGTATCCACTTGATATTCAAAGATATTTAATCTCCCGTTATCAACACCCCAAGTGTTACTATAGACCAGAACTGAACTGGACAACGACATAAATACCGTTGTAATAAGAGTACATCAGAGGTTGGGAATTCTATAGAGAGTAACTTGCCTTCAAACTCCCCAAAGCCTGACCACCATCTATAAAGCTAAAGTTGTGAATACATGGAATACTTGCCTGGATAGGTGCAGCCCCAACAACATTTAGGAAGTTTGACCCCATCCAGGACAAAGTAGTCCACTTAGTTGGCACAAAGCCACCACCATAACCATTCACTTCCACTGGCAATAGTGTTTACCACCTCCAAGAAGCACTGCATTTTAGGAGACATTTGAAGGCTGTAGAGAAATATTTATGAAAAAGGTTCTAGGGATAAGACCACAAGAAAAAGGTACAGGGGTAGGGTGCTCAGCCCGTCGAGCCTGTTCCACCATTCAATAGGCCGAGAGGCTTGAAATATGTGGATCGACTGGAGAAAAGAATGTTGAGAGGAGATGTGATAAACGCGTTCAAAATCATGAGGAGTATGAACAGCGTAGATTGAGAGAACCTGCTCCCATTGGTGGAAGGGTCGAAAGCCAAAGAACACAAAAATGCAATCATAGGCAAAAGAACGAAAGACAACAGGAGATACAACTCTTTTATTACACAGCCAATGGTTAGGATCTAGGATTGGGTCCAGCCGCGAGGGATGCTGGAGACAAATTATGGCTTTCGAAAGAGAATTGGATAACTACTTGTGGATGATATTAGAAATGTTGCAGGGCTGTAAGGGAGAAGGCCAGGGAGTGACTAGCTCAATTTGTTTTACAGAGAGCCAACAGAGATGCAGTGGGCCGAGTGTCCTTCTCCTGTGTTGGAACCATTCTATTCCAGGACCAGAACACCTTATCGTTTTACAGACAGTGACCTCAGGCAGCCATTCTGCAAGCTGATGTTGGGGTGGGCTTTGGAATATTCTCTGGAACAAATCACTCAAAAACATTTTTGCAGTTCTTGACACATGTGAATCGATTGGTTGCAAACTGTATCCGACTGCTTAATTTATAGGAAGGCTAATGAAAAAATTGGATCACTGCTCTTCGAATTTCATATAGTATTCCCCCCAACCACCTCACTCCCAAGGACGTGAGTTGTTCAGTCCAGGAGAGTCCCATGTTAACTGCCCCGGGTTAGGGCTGAGGGACCGGGATGGGGTTTCGTGACCGGAATGTAGGTCCACTGCACAATGGAGAGCGAGGAGTTAGGAATTAGCCCGTGCTCCAAGTTGGTATCACCACTATGATTCCTGCCCTTTCTCACACGGCAGTCCTGTCCGTCTGTCTGTCTATGTGTCTCTATTGGTGTATGTATCTGTGCGTCTGTCTCTGTGTGTGGCTATGTGTATGTGGTTTGACTCTGTGCCTGCGTATCTCTTTGTGTGCCTGTGTCTCTGTGTGTCTGTGTCTGTCTGTATCTCTGTGTTTTCATGCTTTTCTGTCTGTCCGTGTTTGCCTGTGTATGGCTATTTGTGTCTCCGTATGTCCGTCTCTGCCTGTCTCTGTATGTCTGTCTCTGTGTATATGTCTGTGTGGTCTCTCTAAGTCCCTCTCTGCGTGCGTATGTGCGTCTCTGTATGGCTGTCTTTGCCTGTCTCTGTATGTATGTCTCTGCCTGACTTTGTACGTCTGCTCAGTGTGTATGTCTGTGTGTGCCTCTCTAAGTCTGCCTCTGTGTGTCTAAATATGTCTGCCTCTGTGTGTATGTCTATTTGTGCCTCTGTATGTCTGTCTGTGAGTGCCTCTGTATATCTGTCTCTGAGTGCCTCTGTATGTATGTCTCTGTAAGTATGTCTGTGTGTCTGTCTGCCTGTGTCCGTGTCTCTGCATGTCTGTCTCTGTGTATATGTCTGTGTGTGTCTCAGTATGCCTGTTTCTGTGTGTGTCTCTGTTTGTCTCTGCGTGTGTGTCTGTTTGTCTGTCTCTGTGTCTCTTTATGTCTGTCTCTGCGTATGTGACTGTGTGTGCGTCTATATGGCTGTCTCTCTGTATATGTGTGTGCCTCTGTCTCTGTGTCGGTATGTCCATTTCTGGGTGTAAGTTTGTGTGTCTCTTTGTCTTTGTCCTTGTGTATGTCTATGTCTCCCTGCGTGCGTCTGTGTGTCTCTGTGTGTATATGTCTTTATGTGCCTATGTCTTTACCTGTGTGTGTGTGTGTGTGGCTTTTGGCTGACAGGACCGTGATGCCTCCCGGGACCGAACAGCCGGCCCGCACTCACCGTATAGTTTTGCGGATACAGAATAGCCACTCACCGCAGGCATTGCGGGACTGCGAGTCTCTGTGAAAGTGCGGCCCATGGAAAAAGAAACTTGTGGGATGTGGACGGGGATGGCGGGGTGGGGGCGGCTTGTGTGCAAGGACGGAGGGTGGGGATCAAGGGAGTGAACAGCGGGGATGAGACGGACGGGTTAATAACAGGGCAGGAAGATGTCACGATAAAAACAGACAATGCGTCTAATGCAGCCCGAGGGTGCCTGGCACAGGGCACCTTCAGCGAGCGGTGTGTAAGGAAAGGGCACTCGGTGGTAGTGGGTCTGACAGGGAGATGCCGCATTGCTGCTGAGAGCAACTTCCCCAACCCCCCACCACACAATCTCCCCAACCCCCCACTCTCTCTGTCTGTCTCTCTCTCTCTCTCACACACACACACACAGCCTGAAATAAATAATCAATCTTTTAAATGCAAATTGAAGAGAATAATTAAACAGTCCACAAGTAATACAGCTCAATTTGCAGCTCGGTTCAGAGCAAGCCTGGCGTATATCAGACAAGAGTGCAGCCTTCACTCGGCTTTTGCTGCAGGGAGCAGAGAGAAAAAACAATTAGCCGGGCGCAAGGACAGCTCAAGCAGAATTTTAATTTGCTTAAATATTTACAGTAATTTAGCAACACATCGAGTCAGAAGCTGTGAAGCTGCCATTTGGCTCCCCCAGCACCCCCCTCCCCCCAAATCCCCACAGGCCCCTCGAATCGCTTCGCTGCCTTTTCGGGGCTGCTGCTTGAGGCAAGTAATTTAACATTGAGAGGCGGGGGAGGAGGACTGAGGCAGGGGAGGGGGGGGGGGGAAGGAATGGGAGATCATTTTCATTCTTTTGTATCTCTGGTGCGTGCTAATTACGAAACAGTAATTAGGGAGCGTAATGAGAAACTGGCACCTTCATTACCATACCTTGTGTCAGGATCGCCCGATTCTCCCAAAAGACATTCGCTAGCTCCTTGTTGTTGATCTGTTGCGGATCATTCACATTTCTTCCCCTGTTTCAATAGGGCCAGTCTTTCCTGGCAAGGGATAGACAGTGTCCCACAATGAACACACACACACGAAAAAAAATAAATCGAGTGTGTTGTTGAAGACTGTTAATAAAACGTACACACTTTTTTTGTCTCATGCAACCCTGTGTGTGCAAACCCATATTGGCTGCTGCTCGCGGATTTGACTGACTAGCTCCGGAGAGGGCCCCCAAGGCTATACTTTATTGCTTTTTCACAATGCATCTGCATTGCTCTTTGACACTCGTAACCGCCACTAGGGAACAGTTGTTTGGGAGAGTGCTTTTTTTCAGATAAGAACAACGCAATTCTGCTACACACAAGAGTGCCAGCGGTACTTCGTCCTTGCCACAGTAATCAAGGTTAACTTTAGTTACATAAATAGGCACAAAGCCGGGCAAGGCAGAAAGGAGGAGGGTGATAGAGAGAGAGAGCGCGAAAAAGAAACCGCAAGAGAGGGGAGTTGAGGGGAACAAGAGAAAAGGAGAGGGGCGGGAGAGGCAGAGTGAGGAGGACAAAGAGACCAGGATACAGAACATAGATAGGAGTCACAAGGAAACGAGATGACTGCAAATTTGGCCATGGAAATTGTTTGAAGCGGATTCACTGAAGTACAAATCAGGGGGAAATGATCCCAATCTGTGAGAGGCACCAGAGTGTCAGAAATTAGCCACCACAATTCTGCCACTCTTTACACACTGGGGTTTTAACACAAAGATTTGCGATATTTCCCTTCCCCCTTACATCCTGCCTCGAAAAATAACCAGATGTGCATGGCCTACAGGCTCACCATTTCTGGCTCAGCCTGTGTACCCCCTGCCTTTGTGCTGTCAGATTGTCCCAAGTCAGGCCTGACTGTAACCTTGAACTTTCACTGACTTGTTCTGATGTTGGGAAGCTCAGGCCTATTGGCTTCAAGCCTTGCCACAAGCTCAGTCCCACTGCCTTGTATTCCATACCCTTCCTTCAGCACAATCTGAGGAAGGATCAGCATTTATTTAAAATCTCAACCTGCAGATCATATCTCCTGAACCCATCTCATCCCTGTAATCTCATTCAACACCGCAGCCCACACTCCAATCTCTACTTTGCTTTGAATGTAGCCTTTTCTGCACCACAGCTTCCAACATTCATCCCTGTGTTAGTAACAGCTCCTTCAGTCCTCTGAGTCCTGGCCTTTGTGGGTTCCCTTTCTTTTTTCCACTACTCGTCATTTAAAATCATCAAGGAAATACTTCTGTTATGCCAAGGCCTTTGTTTGGTCCTTGGCTTACACTTTACATCAAAACCACAATAAAGATCCAAGTTGTAATCATTGTTTCAACAGTAACCCCCACAAAGAATGGAATAACAACTGTTCAAACTAATTTCACATGACAACCTTTGCAACCTGCAACAGGGGAGCCTGCCACCCCTTTGTCTGGGCCAGACCTAAACTCAGTTCCAAGACTCATCTTCCCTATTCAACAGAACTGAGCTCATCCAAAACTCAGGTGCCCATGTTCTAACTTGAACCAAGTCCAGTTTGATCATTCTCCACTGTGCACACGGACCTAAATTGGCTCCTTGTCCAGCCATGGCCCCATTTTACAAGTCCCCAGAGATGTCTTGCTGCAACTGTGCAGGGCCTTGGTGAGACCACACCTGGAATATTGTGTGCAGTGTTGGTCTCTGTATCTGTGTCTTGCTGCACAGAGAGTGCAGCAAAGGTTTACCAGACTGGTCCCTGGGATGGCAGGATTGATGTATGAGTACAGGGTGAATCGATTAGGAATATATTTGCTGTATTTCAGAAGAATAAGGGGGGAATCTTGCAGAAACCTATAAAATTTGAACAGGATTAGACAGAGTAGAGTCAGGGAAGGATGTTTCCAATGGCAGGAGGATCCAGACCAGGGGTCTCAGACTAAGGATACAGGTTAGGCCACTTAGGGCTGAGATGTGGAGAAATTTCTTCAACCAGAGAGTGGTGAGCCTGTGTAATTCATTACCACAGAAAGCAGTTGAGGCTAAAATATTGTGTGATTTCAAGAAGGAGTCAGATACAATACTTGGAGCTAAACAGATCAAAGGATATGGGGGAAAAGTGGACTTAGATGATCAAGTCATCACTATGAATGGTGAAGCAGACTTGAATGGTCAAATGGCCTACTCCTGCTTCTATATTCCATGTTTCCATAATGTCTCTTCCATTTCCTCCATGGGCAGGTTTTAGCAACTTCTTCCACCCATCTCCTCCCCTCTCCATTTCTGCAATGTCCTCCAAACCAATATCCTACTAAGATCTCTGCACTATTCCTATTTTGACATCGCGTGCACCCCGGATTTCCTTTGCACTGTTACTGGGGGTTCTATTGGACCTTGTCATGTCGCAAACTGGTACAAACATCAGCAAACATTATTTTGACCGACGAACAAAAACTTGTCCAAAAGGATTGGTTTGAAGAAATATCTTCGAGGAGAAGAGAAAGGTACGGAGGTGAAGCGTTTGGAAAAGAATTCTAGAACTTGCGGCCCAGGCAATGTCTAGGAAATGCTCGGGAACATTTTGGACCATTTTACATTACAAGACTATATAAATGCAAATTACATATTTGAGGAAACCCAATTATACAGCTTTTGGACACTTGAATAAAGGCAAGGACTCTCCAAGAACAGCAAGCACAAAGGACTTACCAAACTGCCCAAACTGCACACTTATCCTGCTCCCTTAAATAATCACTTTTATTGCGTAAGAGGAGGTTCTACAAATTTGTTGTCAAAATGCAATTCCTCGTGTATCACGGGCGTACATTGGAAGTCCGAAAGAAAGAATTGTAAAGAGTGGAGAATGCCTAAGGACCCCATGGCGAGTCTGGGATATTTCCCAAGATATCCGCTCTCCTGGCTTGGAATGGCAAACATCTCAAAACGTTCTACACAGTGACTAATGCTAGAGAGCCAAGAAAGACAGTCATCGTGCACCATTCAACTTCGATGTCACACAAATGGGGACACTCTCCACTTTGACCTATCAGGTTGTCGGTTCAAATCTCATTCCAGAGGCGCGGGCACGTAATCCGGGCTCTCAGTGCTGAGATTTTTTGAGATAAGGCCTTTAAACTCAAATCTGTCCTTTCAGATCTCAAGGCACGATTTTGATAAGGAGCAGGCGAGTTCTCCCTGATGACCTACTCGATATATAATTCGTTTACAAAATCATCACTATCTTTATCAAAATAAGATCATTATCGCATTGCAGTCTGTGGAAATTTGCTGGGTGCACAATAACTGTTAGGTCTCCTACTTCTAACAATAGTGAATGCAGTGAAAAATATACTCCATTGGCTGTAAAATGCTGTAGGATGTCCCAAAGTTACGACAGACCTAGCAGAAATATAACTTCACTAATCCTAGATGTCGAACGGTCAATCGCTTTGAAGAAAATGGGACAGAGAGCATTCTGTAATGCATTAAGCAATCACATTATGCATACCCCATCATTAAAATCATGCTGGCTAGGTAGCAGTTAAAAACATGCTTTAAAAATATAAATATGTGGTTTCGTTTTGAGTTGATTTTATTGACCTCGCAGGATAGAAAATTTGAGTAGGCGGTAAATCACACTCAACATCTCGAGGTTGATTAAAGTGACATCACCCAAATTTGAGGTAAGAGTTTCAAAGCCAAGTGCTTAGAAATTGCACTGCCTGATCCCGGGAACAGCACAAGTGGTTTGCATTAAAAACGATTCAGAGTGTGTACACAGCAGGAAGTGATCGCCAGCTCCTGCAGCCGGTGTAAAAGGTGACGGAATAGCTTTGTGATCATTTATTTAACGAGCGTTTGCCTCACAGTTAGTGGTGTTTCAGAGTTGGAAGCTTATTTCAGGCAGGGTCACTCACTATCTCTTTGGTTCCCTTCGGTTTAAATACTTTTAACTGTCCTTTTTTACAATTGATGCAGATTGGCGTGGTTTTGCCTCAGATTGATATACGTTTTTAAAAGAGATGAAGATTTGCCAAATGGCCCAAGATGGTGCACTGATCAACACATTATGAAGTTCCCATGCTCTGAGTCAGTTGATGTCAAGCCACTGTCCTAGCAACTCACCCGCAACATTCTTTATCTCTGAGCCTTGAAATGAGCCAGGTCTATTGTCCTCAATCCCAGCATTCTATACCCACACACACAGCATTACACACAGAAACAATACAGGTTACACAGGTCCACACACTAATACAGACATAATGGTTACCAGTACAATAGTACAGTATTTATGCCACTGATACAAATAAGCTAGCTAAAACCTAGACTAATGATCAGAGATCCGAGTTTAAATCGCACCACAGCAGCTGGGGTATGTAAATTCAATTAATTAAACAAGTCATGAATTAAAAGTCTCAGCAATGGTGACCACGAAACCACTAGATTGGTTTAAAAACCCATCTGGCTTACCAATGCCCCTTAGGGAAGGAAATCTGCCATCCACATCCAGTTGAGGCAAAATGTGACGGTGAGCCCCCAGCAACATGGTTGGCTGTTGAATAGCCTCTGAAATGGTCTAGCGAACATTCAGTCATAGCAAACTGCTCCAGAAAAATATGAGAATAAACCCAAACAGACCACCTGGCATCGACCTGATACAAACAAGGCTCATCCAGGCCTGTCAGCTCTACAAAGTCCTTCTTAATAACATTTGGAGCCTCGTGAGAAAATTGGAGAGCAATAGTCTGATCTGACACACACAATCGTAACTTTCAACTAATGTACTGGATACCACCAACACTGGCTCAACAGCACTACCCCTAACTGAGCTGACAAGGTCATGAAGGATACATATGGCAGATTGGCCCTGTAGCAGAATGTGTCAAAAAACTAAAATGAAAAACCTACTGTTCTTTTTCACATCAATGTACCTATTGTAGATATATCTGTTCATGGCAGTATTGGTAGTAGTGACTGACTCACAGCCCTTGTGGAGACAAAGTCCCATCTTCACACTGAAGAATGGAATCATAACATGGTCACGGCACAAAAGGATACCATTTGACCCATCATATCCACGCTGAATCTCTGCAACAGCAATTTAAATAGTGCCACTTCCCTGTGCTTTACCATCACTGTGTAATTTTTTCTCTTCAGATGCTTATCTAATTCCCTTTTGAAGACTATG